GGGGCCACAATGGCCGACCAAAGGTGCTCAGGTGAGCGATGTGGCCCATGGGCCTCTTGTTTTCAGGGAGCTACAGTTCTGTAGCTATAGCAGTAGTTAAGCGTCACCCTATGGTATACTGTATACAGGGAAATTTTCGCCCCCGTTTTATTTTCGTCCCTTTCACCCTACCCTCTATCGGAATAATTTAAAACAGGGCGAATTCAAAGTTTACAGTATCATTTCTTAAACAAAACTATAAGTGGCCGAATTTAAAACGGGACAACGTTGTTTTCAATCGTGAAAGGGCAAAAATAACATGGGACGAAAATAACATTGTATACAGTATATAGGTGTCACAGGGTCAATCGTTTCAGAGAAAATGCTGGATGTAATGATGTTTTATTATGGATAACAGAAAAGAAACATAGAAAACACTCAGGTATCCAGTATCGTAAAATAATGAATGTTATTATAATAGTAATCAATTAAGACATCATATAACTCGATGACTTCATAAATGGTTAGACCTCATAAACCGTGAAGGTAAAAGCTAATGGATAACTTATTTGGCGGGATAAGCGCTTATATAGTGCACGAAGTTAGTATACATGCATATTAATTATCAGATAGAGGTCTGTCATTGGTCCACTGGTCGTACTCGTATACCTGGTCGGTTGGGAAGCTAAAAATAGAAACCTCACGTGACAAGCAAAACATTCACACATGGCACTCATTCACACAAACAGCGCTACGTTTGATTAGCAATGCGCGCTAATCAAATATGAATTATTCACAAAGTGTCTAATTAAATATCAACTGTGACATTCTCCCCTGCTAAGGAAAATGGCTCCTGACATTTTAAAGTTATGAAAATCAAATTGCATTGTCCATTTTGCCATGTAAGGACAAAGTATTAAACACAAACATATTTACAAACAAAATTAACATCTATGTGACATTCTCCTCTGTGTTTTACACAAAATATACTGGAGTCACCTGATGTACCCACTCACCGTATCTGTCGGGTTTTCTCACCTGTCTCGTGGATCTTCTTGGAACTGGTGGAATACTGATATTTACAGAGGGGAAATTTGATGATACATTACGATTTAGTGTCGAAGGATTGTGAGTACTACTAACATCAAATGTTGAATTAGTGTTGGAAATACCAGAATTGTTCCCATGTTCTGAATGAATGGAACTAAATGGCGTAGACTTACCTATACCTGATCTAGGACCTACTCGTCTTTGTGGTATAATATAAATGTTACCATCATCTGATGAACTAGAATCTGAATCTTCTGACTCAGAACTAGAATCGGAATGAATACATCTAGATACATTAGTACCATTATGTACTCTAGACAGTTTCTCTTGATTGGGGGTTTCCTGTTTTTGAACACATTTGTGTTTGGTCACCTTAGGGGAATATTCACCCTGTTCAGAAAGTTTGGGGATATAAGATATGGGAAGTAGCATATTCCTATGCAAAGTTTTAGTTTTTTTCTTTCCCATACTCTTTCTTGACCTGAAATACTGGGATGTCAGAATTGGGCTGATTAATGACAATATCGGTATCTCTGGCCCATTTATCCGCCAGTTTTTTTTTCCTTTTAAACCAACATTCCTAATGAGAACACGGTCTCCAACATGTACCGTGCCTTTGAGTCATAATTCAATTTGTGACGAGAAGCACTTTTCTCAGCTTCACGTGATGCAATCTTGTAAGAGAACTCTAGACGCTTCTGGAGTTTCTTTGCATAATTGTCGCTACTGCGAATCTTTTCTGTCAGAGTCTAAGCCGAGGTATGCATCGATAGCTAAACGCGGATGCCTGCCGAACATAAGAAAGAAAGGCGTATATCCGGTACTGTCATGTTTTGTGGCATTATATGCATGCACAAGAGTACTCACATAAGATTTCCAGTCTTCTTTTTGCTTGTCTTCCAGTGTACCTAGCATTTTGATCAAAGTCTGGTTGAAACGCTCAACCATCCCATTCCCCATAGGGTGATAGGGAGTGGTTCGCGACTGCTGTACACCTGCTAACTTTCATAACTCTTTGATAACATTGCTAGTAAAGTTTCTACCCTGATCACTGTGTAATCTGTTTGGAAATCCGTAATGAACAATAAAATTTTCAAATAGTATTTTAGCAGTTGTTTTAGCTGTTTGATTTCTTGATGGAAAAGCTTGAGAATTACGAGTAAAATGATCTGTAATTACTAATACATTTTCAAAACCTCCTTTGCTTTTTTCTAGTGATAAATAGTCCATACATACAAGATCTAATGGTTGGTAACTTTCAATGTTGACAAGTTCTGCAGAGATCTTCTCAGGAGTTTTGAACTTCACACAGCGGTCACAATTCTTGATTCTCTCTGTAATTTCTTGAATCATTCTGGGCCAGAAAAATCTTTCTTTCATGAGCTGAATGGTTCTGTCACGTCCATGATGTCCAAGGTTTGTATGCAAGAGTCTAAAAGCTGTTTCTCTGAAATGACTTGGTAAAACCAATTGCTTGACATGATCATCGACATGGTTTAAAACAGATGTTCTGTACAAAATACCCTTTTCTATTGATAATTTGTCTATCTCTTTCAAATATCTACACACAATTTCTGACTCTTCTCTTAGATTTGATCCTAGAAAACCTTGCTGAACAAGCTGAATAACTCTTTGATATCTCTATCAGATGATTGCTCCTTAACCCAATCAATGTCTGAGAAAACACAAGTATCATCAGAATGACACTCACTAGTATCACTAGTAATGGAATCTGATGTGTCTGAATTATCTGAGTTCATTAGTACATTAGTACTTACAGTCATGCACGTTAATGGATCCTCCTCTCCTGTTAGGAACACATTTTCAAAATAAGGACAACTTTTATGATCTGCTACATATGCACTACAGATAGACTGGACAACATTAGGATTGACTTCCACCAACTCATTTGGTCGTCTAGACAAACCATCTGCATCTGCATTGTTTGTACCTTTCCTGTAGCGGATGGAGAACTGGAAGTTACTGAATGCGGCTAACCATCTGTGGCCTGTAGCATCGAGTTTTGCTGTGGTCAAAATGTACGTGAGAGGGTTATTGCCCGTCACTACTTCAAACTTGTTACCGTACAAATAGTCGTGAAACTTATCGGTAACTGCCCATTTCAAGGAAAGGAATTCAAGTTTGTGTGCTGGGTAGTGTCTTTCACTGTTCTTTAACCCACGACTCGCATAAGCAACAACTCTTTTCTCACCATTCTGGATTTGGTAGAGAACAGCACCTAAACCATTACATGATGCGTCGGTATGAAGAATGAAAGGATGGTCAAAGTCGGCGTAAGCAAGAATAGGTGGAGACATTAATTTCTGTTTAATGGTCTCAAATGCCTTGGTTTCCTCATCACCCCATCTCCATGCTGGTGCTTTTGTCTTACATGACTTACCTTTGTTTGTGGAATGGCCTTTAAGTAGATCATTAAGAGGCTTAATGATTTTGGAATAATCTTTCACATACCTCCTGTAATAACCTGAGAATCCCAAAAATGTTCTAAGAGTTTTGATGTTAACAGGAATCGGCCATGATGATATAGCTTTTGTCTTCTCTGGATCTGTCGCTATGCCTCTCTCGCTAACCACATGCCCTAAATAACTTACACTGTAGCTTTAAGTTTTAGATTGTTTTGTTCCAGTCTTTGTAAAACAGCTGTAAGTCTGTCCATATGTTCGTCAAATGTCCTTGAAAATATCAGGATGTCATCTAGAAAAACTAAACATTTCCTTAAATTCAATTCACCCATACAACTTTCCATCACTCTCTGAAACGTAGCCGGGGCGTTTGTTTATCCGAATCCCATTCGATTACATTCAAAAAGACCTACTCCACTTACCGAAAAAGCTGTCTTTTCTTGATCTCTTTCATCAATTTCTACCTGCCAATAAGAACTTGTCAGATCTAACTTGGTAAAGAACTTGGATCCAACTAACCTATCAATTGTATCATCTATGCGTGGAAGATTGTAAGCATCTTTCACTGTCCGAGAGTTCAGTTTCCTGTAATCAATACAGAATCTCAAGGTTCCGTCTTTTTTTCTTACCAGTACGATATTAGATGAATAAGGGCTCTGTGATGGTCTAATGGCTCCTACATCTAGCATTTCCTTAACATGTTGTCTGACTTCTTCATACATACCTGGTGGTATACGTCGATAAGGTTCTTTGAATGGCTGGTCATCTGTCAGTTTAATCTCATGCTTCAGTAAATCTGTCTTTCCTATATCTGTGGGACCATCCGAGAATAAATGAATCCAGTTAGACAAAAACTGTTTCACATGACTTACTTGCCTAGTAGTGAGGTTGTCCTCAGAGATCTTGATGTCCAATTCCTGTAAAGACTTTCTGGGTTTCTTAATACCTTGATCCTGTGTTTCAGGATTCCAAGAGTCCACTAACTGTACACCACTTACTGAACATAAAAGTGATTTCGGTGGTATATGTACAATAGAGGCTGAAATATTGCAAACCCTAACAGGAATAGTAGTAGTCTGCTTACCCTGGGTAAGGGAAATAACTCTCGGACAAACAATGAGACCTCCTGATAATGAAGTATTTGTTTGCTCAGTCAAAGCTGATACAATACCATGATTATTTCTTACCAGACCTCTGATTACTTTTGTCTCATTTGGTAACACTTGAATGGTACACTTGTTAGTCGTCTTCACTGGTGTTTCATCATTCATACTGTCAAATGCTATCTTCCATTGTTCTGGAACATCATCTGAATCAGTGGAATTCTGGTTACAAGCATTCCTTTAAAAACGATTGAAATTAGTTCCAAGAATCATAGGCACTTGCCTTGAATAATTTGTCTGGGGAACTACTAGAACAGGAATAGTATATGTAAATTTACCAAAACAAGGTACACATATGTCAATTTCTGCATAGCCGCTGTATGGCAAAGCACTGCCATTAGCGCTCTGAATATTGAGTTCAAATTCTGAAAGGTCATGTAACTCAGGCCTAGGGTTTAAATTTCTGAAAAATTCTTCTGATATACAGGTTATCATGGATCCTGAGTCAATGAGAGCTTTAGTTTTTATACCATTGACAATAATTTCAGATTCACTGGATTCTCCAACTAACCTGTACAAAAGACTGGATGGATTTTTGGTAGAATTAGGGCTATTTTTAAATGAATCTCCAGTTTGCCCCGCAACAGGAGATGAAACTACTTTAAAGTACTACCTGCACCAAACCCATTCATGTTACCAGACTGTTGACTAAACTGCCTCTGTTGACATGGTTGCTGAGTCTGCTGCTGCTGGTTTGGAGGTTGCTGTGATTGGAAATACATTCCTCTGCTGCCCCTGTTGGCAAATTTCTCCTGCCTTTGAAATTTCCTCTGTGGTAAATATTGTTGGAGGTACTTGTCTGAAAAGAACCTGTATTATTAAAACCAGTTGTTTGAGTTTGATTATTTGCATTTGAACTTTGTTCAATTTTACTCATTCTGCTATCAAGTTTCTTCATCTGAAAAAGTAATTCTGTAAGCTGTTTTTGCATATTTTGCAGTTCAGAATTTTGAATTGTCATTGAATCTACATTACTTGACATAGCAACACTTGATTTTGGAACTGAATTTACAGATTTCAGACTAGTTTCTTCTTGCTCAATCTGTCTTATCTCTCTAAGAAGGGAGTGAAACTCTTTAACAGTCTCATACTTGTGCCTTGTAGCATTTCTCAACTGCGTACTTCTTAAACCTGACCATAACTTTGATCTAAGCATGGGGTCCTTGGCATTTACATCAATATGACCTAGTTTTACAGCCTTTGATATACACTGTTCTAATCTAGACCCATAGGAAAAAATTGACTCACCTTCTGTTGATGATCCGAATAAAATTTCTGCATGATGTTTTCCGGTGTGCAGACATTCCCATAAAAATCATCTAACTTTGCGAGGATGTTCTCAACCGTTGCATATTCTCCAAGTGGAATCAGAATTTCTCTCGCCGTCCCTTTCAGAGAACTTCTCACTGGCTGCAAAAGAACATGGTCAGGCCATTGGCCCTTTAAGCACCTAACCTCATATGACCAAACGTCATAGCTCACTTCACCTTTCTGAGCTTGCTCACTACCGCTAAAAGTTGGAAGTTTTACAGGGGTAGGGTTGTTATTTTGATGAAACAGAGCAGAGCTATTAAAAAATTGAGGTGATGACATAAGACCTGGCGGGTGTAAATAACCTGGTGTGGGTATGTGATTTGGGGGTGGTACTTGACCTAAGGGTGGAAGTTTAGGAATGGTACCTTGACTCAAACCATGTTCAATCTTAGGGGTAGTTGGAATTTTCTGCCCTTTCAACAGTTCATACTCCTCTTTTGTAATAACCCTGTAATGCTCTTCTGCATTGATTTGCTCTATAATTTCTTGTAAGTCTTTCTTACCCTTGCTTTCATCAATATCTTCTTGTAAATCTTTTTTACCATCAACACCAGTTGCCATGTTGATTTTTCAATTGATACCAAATCGCAAGCAAAGATTAACTTATCGCAATGCGCATATGTCATCACACAAGCAATCACTCACTCAAATTCTGTACAAATACAACACTATATACACAATAAACTGAAAAAAATATATACACAAATTTACCTGTCTGCTTTGTCCAACAGTCCTGTTGTTTTGTAGTCCTGTGCTTGCGTTAGTAACTCTGCAATTAAGAAAGTGATCGCGCGCAGGGAAATTTTCAGCAACTATAAACTACGACACGCATCAACAAAATGTTCAACAGACAATGACATTGACAGACAAAAATAAACATTGACAGTCAACAAAAATACATCACAGACATTCAACATACACAGAAAAATTGTTTACCTTATTGAACAGACGCGTTTGGCAGCGAAAAGTTTATGAAACCGTGTAAAACATTTGACAAACACGTTTTTCTACACTTCCGGAAGTTCAAAAGTAAAACAAATGAAAATTTGAATATCGAGCCCGATCTTTTTACACATGAGTAACACGCACCTTGCACACAGCATTCACAAAGCCGGCAACCTCACACGCCATACATTAAACATGAAATAATACACACACATATACAATACAATACAACAACAGAAAGACACAGAACATGAAAATAATAGCACAGATATATCTGGATGGATTTTTATTTTTCACAGATCACTGAATTGCATGGTTACACCGCGGTAGTTTCACAACGTTGCGCGAATTCTTTTCCTCGAACACAACAGATGTCAATAAATTCACGGATCACTGGACAGTGGACACCTGTCCTGAAATGAACTCAGGTAGACTCGGTCAGCAGGTTCAGAAAATGTTACTACTAGTAGCTAGCGTAATGTTAAGTTAGTGCACTGAATTTAAACGCATTCTGTACGGACTCGAAGCTCGCACTGAGTATATCATGAACAGAACTCACTTGTCATGTAGAATATACGTTCTGATATAAATGTAGATGTGTATATAGATTTAGATCTAGGCCTACTATTTTGAATCTGGGCGTTGGTCGTCACAGCGGTACTGGCGTTTCGGCCTTGTCCCAGGAACTGGAATCTGGATCCTGGTTTCCCTCACAGTAACATCAACACATACGTGGGCGCCATATGTCACAGGGTCAATCGTTTCAGAGAAAATGCTGGATTCGAGTAATGATGTTTTATTATGGATAACAGAAAAGAAACCTAGAAACATAGAAAACACTCAGGTATCCAGTATCATAAAATAATGAATGTTATTAGTACCCTACCGGTGTAACCGGAGGGGACTATAGGTTTCCTCTGCGTCCGTCCGTCTGTCTGTCTGTCCGTCTGTCTGTCCCCGTCTGTCCCACTTGGTTTTCCGCACTTTTTTTCTAAACGCTGGCAGATATTGTACTGAATTTTGGTAAGTGGGTGTATCTTTATAAGTTACAGATCAAGTTTGAATATCGATACAATTCAATGATTTTTCACGGAATTACGGTTTTTTCAATTTTTCAGGGTTTTCCGCACTTTTTTTCTAAACGCTTGTAGATATTGAGCCGAATTTTGGTATGCCAGTTTATCTTGATGAGTTACAGATCAAGTTTTAATTTTGCATAGCTTCATTGATTTTTGACAGAATTATGGCATTTTGAATTTTTCACATTTGTTTAATTAAGATCGGGTTCGTGGTGCGCTAACTTCCGATGGTCGACATAAATATGAAGCGAGAAAAAGACGTTGGAAAAATGAGTTGAATTTTCGTCTTAATGTGATTATTTTAATAGGTTTAATGCATTCACAAAATAAAAATCATGCAGCTTTACCTTGGACATAACTTTTGTATGTTATAAAATGACATCCTGAGAAAAAGTGGGAACCCGGTAGGGGACATGTATTGCTAATGCAATACTATCAGAATGCTTGTTAGTCCCCTACCGGTGAAACCGGGGGGACTATAGGTTTCCTCTGCGTCCGTCCGTCTGTCTGTCTGTCTGTCTGTCCGTCTGTCTGTCCCCGTCAGTCTGTCCCACTTGGTTTTCCACACTTTTTTTCTAAACGCTTGCAGATATTGAGCTGAATTTTGGTATGTGGGTGTATCTTAATGAGTTACAGATCAAGTTTGAATTTCGCTCCGCTTCATTGATTTTTGACAGAATTATGGCATTTTGAATATTTTTCATAATCGCTTAATTAAGATCGGGTTCGAACTGCGCTAACTTCCGATTGTCGACAAAACTATGAAGCGAGGAAAAGACGGTGGAGAAATGAGTTGAATATTCGTCTTAATGTGGATTATTTTATTAGTTTTAAGGCATTTACAACTTGAAAATCTTTCAGTTTTACCTTGGACATGACTTTTGCTTATTATAAAATGACATCCTGAAGAAAAAGGGGAACCCGGTAGGGGACATGTATTGCTTATGCAATACTCTCAGAATGCTTGTTATAATAGTAATCAATTAAGACATCGTATAACTCGATGACTTCATAAATGGTTAGACCTCATAAACCGTGAAGGTAAAAGCTAATGGATAACTTATTTGGCGGGATAAGCGCTTATATAGTGCACGAAGTTAGTATACATGCATATTAATTATCAGATAGAGGTCTGTCATTGGTCCACTGGTCGTACTCGTATACCTGGTCGGTTGGGAAGCTAAAAATAGAAACCTCACGTGACAAACAAAACATTCACACATGGCACTCATTCACACAAACAGCACTACTTTTGATTAGCAATGCGCGCTAATCAAATATGAATTATTCACAAAGTGTCTAATTAAATATCAACTGTGACATAGGTTTAGCATCTGACAGATGTTTTTTTCCCACCTTTTACATGTAGCTGTATTCTTACCTGATTACTACATCTTAAATGGGGTTGACACCAATCAGACCATTAGAATTTCTGACGTCAGCATAAATTCTCAAAGCTGTTTGTTTATTTTACCCACTGATGAATGAGTCGCAATGCCTGTAAAAGAAATATTTATACTTTCGATAATCACTATTGAATATATCATGTTCATGTAAAAACAAAATTAAATTTGTTATAAATATGAGCAAGTGACTATGGAATATATTCATTCAGTTGCGGTCTTATAAAGTAAAAAAAAAAATCTCTACGGTTTATACGGTGACGAAGTACAAGTAACTATTTATGCAGAGAATCAAAAAACCATGTGTCGCAGTTGAGTGGATAGACTATTTAAACAGGTCGAGTCCAAATACTATTTCTACCTATGTGTAGCTATTAATAGCTACATGTACCTAGGTATTTAAAGCTACCCAAAGTAGCTATGTTTACCTACTTTCTGCTTTGCTTGCATTTTGTGGCCAAATGCAGGAACGGCGCAACATGGTGAGCACAAAATTTCTTGATACAGTCACACTGATGATGGGTATAACAAAAATTTGGCCAAAAATGATTACTTCGTATATTATCAATTTTGCATAGAAACTAATGTAAAAGTGCCGATTCATGAAGTTATTTTTTTGGCCAAAATTTTGTCGTATTCATCATTAGTGTGACTGTATCAAAAGATACAGTATTCACCATGTTGCACCGTTTGGTCTTTATGCCGCAAAATGCAGAAATAATAAAAAGTAGGTAAAAAAGCTACTTTGGGTAGCTTTAAATACCTACGCAGCTATTAAATAATAGCTACCTAGGTTCTTTGGACTAGACCTGCCTACATGTAAGACTCATGCTTTGAAACTCATTCACATTGATTGGAGAACAAGTGTGACGAAAAGATCGTCATGTATTGAAAATTAACTTCCATATACACTGTAAGGCAATGTACCCGACCAGTTTAAAAAGGTAAATACTTACCTCCAGCATCCACGACTCCTTTCTGACTGAGTGCGGGAAATATTAAGAGTTCCGAAGGATAGGTTATCTGGTCCCCTTTTTGATTCTATAGTTCGCTTCCCAAAAGATTCTACGGGGCGCGCGCCCTCTGTCGTCATAATGATGTACAGTGAACGAATGATGAAATACAAATGTCGAACTAACATCGAACAGATTACCAGATAATAATTTCCGCAACTCAGAACAATGTATACGGATAACACAGTACAAATTATATTTTTTTCATTGAATAAATAATGCATTCACTCGTAACGCATCTACACAGACATTATCTCCCGTTTACATGTTCTGCTTTTTGAACAACGAATATACGGAAATGTATCACAAATGTCAAAATAAGGATTTACATTTTTACATTTACATTAAACAAATAATGCATTTAGTAACAACACATAATTACATAGATAGAATATTGAACCCTTTGGTTTTCCATACTTTCGCCCCATGCGGGCTCATCAGTAGATTTAAAATTGTAAACAAGTTACATTATGACGTCATTCTCATGACGTTATGTCGGCAACGTTAAACATAATGATTGTGACGTAATAATAATCACAGTTAAATGAGGCGCACAGATAGAGTTTTACAGTTCATCTGATCAAAGTTTAGCGCCTATTATATGTACAATAATGGAGACATTTTACATAAAATGTACATAATAAAATAATTTGATATAGATTTCTTTTAACAGTTCAATTTTGGTTTAAACAAATTTATAAAATATTGTTCTTTGGCTTTCCGTAATTGTTCATTTTCCTCTTTTATTTTGTAAAAAGGAAATATATAAAAATGTCCTTTGCCACAAGAATCAAAGTGTTCACTACATGGCGTGTTTCTTATGGTCGGATCCTTAATCTGTTGTATATATATATAACTTAATTATTTTTTAATTTTAGAAGAGAGTACTGTAGCATTGATAAAATGACACAAGAGGAGAAAGATCGATGTTACTGATGTGAAAAATTGGTCAAAAGAGGACATAAAAAGTCTTTTAAACTTCAGACGACAAAAAGAAAACAATTAAATGGTAGCAAAGTCCACAAATTACTTTGGGATACTAATTCAAAAGAACTGTCTGACCTCGGTATTGCCGCGACTGCAACCCAGTGCTCTAACAAATGGAAAGCCATGAAAAGGGAATACAAAAAGACTGTTGATAACAATTCTAATACAGGTGCAGAAATGAAAACATATCCTTTTTATGAGGATTTCGGAGAACTCTACGGTAACAAAAGTGGAACAAGACCACAGTGTGTGATGGCCTCCAAAAAGATAAATACTGGAGATGACAAGGAAGATTCTACATGCAATTCAGGATCATCACCAGAATCCTCCTCTAAGACATCAACATCATCGTCATCTGCGGCAAAGGAGATCACAAAAAGAAAAAGAAAAGTTCATTTCTCGTTACTAGAAGAATACATTAAATGACAGGAAAAGTATCGTCAAGAGAAGTTCGAGCTCGCAAAAGAACAGCACACAGAGAAAAAAAGAAGAATTTAATGGGAAAACTTATAGAACGTTTGCAATCAAAACAGACCAAAACTGATAAAGATGATCAGTAAAGAATAAAATATCCAAGTTGTATCAATAATATGCTAATTTCTACCCTTTTAGATTTGGTATCAACTTAAAGGAATTTTATGATTTCCAAAAATATGACCAAAATTGCTGCAAAGACCTACAATTGTACCTTATGCCTACTTCCACTAAGAGTGCATTCGAAACCGTCGTTCTTGAGTACTGTTCGTACATTCACGAACGCCGAGAATATGTGCGTACGAACATGTTCATACACAGATATTCGAACGCGAAGAACACGTGAAAAAATGGCGCATCAGACTGAATTGCTTTTATACTACAACCTATTTGATATGCTTATTGAGGATGATGACGCTAATGAACAATTATTTCATCATATTTTTGACCCTGTAGTAATGTTTTCTCCACTGTACAGAAGACTCAATGCCCCGAAAGTTGAAAACTTTGCCGAAAACATAGTCCCTTCCTTCTCCAGCAACGATTTTCGCCGACATTTCAGGATAAATAGATCTGTGTTTAACATCTTGAAAAACCGATTCAGTGAAAATTTACAAAGAAAGAAAGGAGGTTTGTTTCAAATTTCACCTGAAAAACAATTACTATGGTGGCATATTTATGCCATCCACATAACTTTTTGTCAACA